AATGGGAAAACTCCAGGGACTCCACATCTAAGTTGACTCCATCTCTTTGCTCACTTGTTGGTACCATTCTTATAGGGCTGCAGGTTGGGGTCTCACCGTCTCTGGCCTGGGCCATTTCAAGAGTCTTGTAATTCATCACTCAGGGATGAGTGTAAGGATCACCTTCTGGTTCTACTGGTACTGCTTGTTCTCTCGCTCGGTGAATACCTACTGAGTGTCCTGAGATACGTACCCTCACTTTCCTCCCACATAAGGAAAGGCCTTCCTGGCCATGGTATTTCAAAGTGGCCTCTCCCCGGCGTTCCCCATCTCTCTTCCCTGCTTCCCCCCCGAACGGTGCTTATTTCCTTTTAGTATATTATACGTTTGCCTGTTTGTTTTATTGACGGTCCATTTTATCCCGCTTGCTTGTAAGCCACAGGAGAACAGGGATTTTTGTTCACTGTTGTATTCCCAGTGCCCACAATGGGGCGTGCTACCTAGCATGGTCCAAAAATAATGCGCATTAATTTAACGTTAATAGTTACTACTTTTCTGAATTGTGAGGATTCAACGAGTCAGGGTACATGTGGAGAAAAATCCGTCAGAAATCAAAAAGCCCCACACTCACGCCTATTTTTCATGTTGTCATATTGTTAAAGTCAGAATTCCTTTAGCTGCAAGTGACAAAGCCAATTCAAGCTGGCTTAAGTAAAAATGACTTTATTTAGTTGACGCAAAAAGCTTAGGGTTAAGTTTTGCAGGTTAGGGTGTGGCTGGTCCATCAGCCAGGTTATCAGGACCTGTTTTCCGGTCTGGGCTACATTTTCAGACAGGCAGATTCCATATGATAGCCCCTAGAAGCTACTACCAGATTAGCCTTAGCAAGAGAACGAGGACATCTTTTCTTCAATATTTGCAGCAAAATTTCCAGGGCTGCTGTTACAGAGGCAATTTGCATTGTCTGCCCTCTCTGAACAAATCACTAGGGTCATGAGGCATGCACTGTTCTGATAACTAAGCTTGGATTCTGGCACCTTGCCCTGGAAATGGGGACTGGTGGTTCTCCAAAGGAATATTGGGAATATTAAGGAAAGGATGCCGTGCAGGCAGGAACAACACGTCTTCCTCGCCAAGGGTCAGCTGGAATATATGCCACGTACAGTGAATGGTGGCAACTCCTGACTCTAGCCAAAGAAGAGATGTTTGTTACGGTCCTCTTGAGTCATCAAAGCTTCAGCTCAACCTTGCTAAAGAAAGTCAGATACTATCAACCACAGTGATATTTAAGGTTTAGCTTTGAAGTCAGAATGCACTTCAAATGGGAGAGCCACATGAGTATAAATAGCCAAATAACTGCAACAATAATTCCATTCTGAAGGATTTCCTTGACAACATTCTATTGGAGTTTTATCTTCTCATTTTCTAGGTTCATAGAAAGGAGGAAATTCCATTTCTTCGTGGACAGGTGCCTAAAATTTCACATTATTCATTGATTAATGAAAACAAATGAAAATTTGAGAGAGAAAATCTGAAAAATAAAAGGGTTGAGTTAGGTCATTTCTGATATTCAAGACTATAGGGTTTTACTTGCTGAGGCTTTCTCAGGTATTCAAATGTTGGTAAAATATTTTAAAGCCGTCTGTCTGAAGCTTTTAAAGCAGTGCATTAATAGAAATTTAGGGAAGTGCAGGATTGCAAATAATGAGTTTATCTTGTTGCTGTTATATCCTTTACCCACTCTTTTAAATGAAGCTTTATGTTTTCGTGAAGTCAGAGGCTTATTTCCTGTCACTG